GGAGAGAAAAATAGAGGAAATAATTTCTCTCATTATACTTAGATGAGTAAGAGAAAATAAAAAAAAAAGAAAAGTTATTAATTTGATATGAACAACAATAACTTTATTATTTATAAAAATATTTATATATAATAAAATTTAATATTTTAAAAATATTATATATATATATATAATAATTTCTATCATATATTATTGATTGAATAAAAATAAAATTACAAATTATTTTATCCAACACTGACCAAAAATTTCTTCATCCAATTTATAATTTTATTGATTGAATTATTAAATATATAATAATCTTAAAATTTTGAAACTGCACCTAAATATAAAAGAGCTTAACTAAAAATTTAGAATTATTATTTATCTAATTGATTTAAAAATTAAATATACCACTTGTTTAATAAAAGTTCACGATTAAACTATAATTATACTATAAATATAAAATTTAAAAATTAATAGATAAATTTAAAAATAAAAAAATAATATGTGAGACCAACATATGTTTACCTTTAACTTTATTTTTTCAACTTTACTTTATCTTTATAACTAAGCGAGTGAAAATGTTATTTCCTCAACTTTTCTTTCCTACTGTTTTCTACACCTTACTTTTCCCTATTTTCAAGTATAACATTAATTAATTAATTATATAACTACCAAAGAAATTGTGCAAATTAAACCAAATCAGTGACTTAGGAAGGGAGTTGCATGTCGGTTTTATTTTTTAGGAAAAAAAATTACAGGCTAGGTCGCTACCCATATGTATGAACTTAGAAACTTTAATGTTGAGATATAATAAAAAGAGTATTGAAATTTAAAAATATGGTCGTTGAAAAATTTTAATTTAATATTAATATTTTTATAAGATTTTTATTTATTATTTTTTTTGTGATGATAAAATAGTTAAAGATACAAGATATGTGAGCGTGTGTGCATATGATGGTAAAATAGTTCAAGAAAGGCTAGGGCGGTAGGTCACCAATAGGTTAAAAAAAAAAAAATATACCCAAGGAGGCATCAGAATTTATAAGAATGCGACGCTACGTGGCACCTTTTAAGGATATTTTTATTACATGAAAAAAAAAAGGTAGTTGCATCTGTAATCTACCACTTGAAAAAGATAAGATCCGGAGCTGCGCATTTCAGATAAAAGGATGAATAAACTTAAATACAGGAATTGATTAAGGCAAAACAAGAGGATTGCGTGGCAAGTTTCGTTTGGTGCCGATCCTGATCCAAGCATATGAGACAGGTGGGTGGTGGAGGGAAAATGGCTTCATGCAAAGTAAATATCAACATTGAATGAGCCTCCATCACGGGCGAACCAAAATTAGATTTTCTTTAGGATATGATTTAGGTGCTTAATTATATATACTTAATATATTTTTAATCAATTAATTTGAAGCACTTAAATTTTAATATATTAATAATAAAATTTTATTATAAAATAAATATTCTATAAAAAATTTACATACTTTTATTTAATTAATTAAAAATAAACATCTTAAATATAACTAAGCACAAAAGTTTTTTTTTAATTATTATCATGGTGAAGACCATTGTCAGTAATGATGATGAGATTGGCTTTTCTCCTCTGGGTGGCAATTCCTTCCTCCGCCTACTAGCTGCAGTTGGAGAAAATCTAGATTATCCATATTTGATGTATTAATTTTTATTTTTCATTATATATATATATATATTTAAGTAAAAAATTATAAAAAAATTAATACATTTTCTCATCAATTTGTATAGTTTAAATTTAATATTAAAATTTTTTTAAATTAACCATCTAAATTCAGATATATTTTGAACAGTGCAGATTTAATATTAAAATTTTAAATTTGTTTTTACCAAAAAATTATATTTTATAATTTTAAAAATTTTTGATATTAAATTTAGATAATCCATGTTAAATCCAAACTATGTGTGAATAGAATTTTTTGTTTTGTTTTAAGAAATGAAAAATAAAAAATTAATACATTAAATCTTGAGTCTGAACAATCTAGTGGCGGCAGAGTGGGGAGAGAGAGAGAGTGGAGGGGAGGAGAGAGTCGAGTGTAGTAATGATGGGCCAGTCGCCTAATCCATCTCTTTAAGCTTCATGACTACTATTCCCTTATTCTAATTCGTCAACATTTTTATCTTAACTCCTTTACTAATCTGTTCTGTTACCATACAATCTGAGCATACAAATTAATTGTATCCTATTTTTATACCCAACTCATAATGATACCACCTGTTCATTCATATTTCAGTTTTATCAGATTCAAATAAGAAATAGCTTTCTCAAAGTAGTTATTTCCATCGATGGCATAATTTAGGACCCATTTCTTTAGGATTAAAAAATAAGTAATTTTTAGGTAATATGAAAAAACAGATATTATTTTATTTTTGATTATAATAATAAAAAAGTGATTACTAATTGATTGTTTTTAAATTTTATAATATCTTCCTTTGTTTTTGTCTTATAAAAATAATTTATTATTATATTATTTTTAAATTTTATGATATTTTTTGTGAATTCCATCTTTTTAAAATACTTCTTTTCATCTACTGCATTACTTTATTTTCAGAAGGTACTCAAAATAACTTCTTAAAATAATTAAAAATATACTTGTTTTTAAATTCTGATTATTTTTAAAAACTTAAACTAACATTATAAAAACTCATAAAATGAATTTTTTAAAAAATAAGTGATTTTTTTATAAAATAAACTAAAACAAATAGGCCCTTAAATATTTGATTTTACTTGCACAATAGTTCCACTCAACTTAGTTACTGTTGGCAAAATGAATATATTCTTCTAATTTTATCATATGATTTAGCAAAGATTAAAACAATGACTTAAAAATTCAAACTATGATAATATGACGCTTTAGTTGTAAGAGTAAGATTAAAAATTAATTATTAATCTTCATATTCCTCTACCAACTTCCTTGATTCTCTCGTTCCATCAGCAAAATTTCAAATAAGTAACCCTCCCCCTTTTGATATCTCAGGAAAAAAAAAAAAAAAAAAAAAAAGGCAAACAACACATGCATGTTAGTGCCTGTTTGGATTTGCATTCAGAATTAATTACTTGTACGGAAACCACGTTTTGACAAAATTTACTCAAACATTTATATTACATGTTAAAATCAATTATAAATTTAAAACTATATTTTTTAAAAAATATCCAAACACTCACTGTACATGTTAAAATCAATTATAAATCCAAAACTATAGGTTTTTTTAATATCCAAATACTTCTTATTATGTCAAAATCAATTATAAATCAAAAAATATGATTTGTAAAATAATTTGTATGATTGTTGGGTAAATTTTTAAAAAAGTATTGAATTGAAAGTAGGAAGTAGTAGCTTATGAGATAACTATAATTTTGATTTTTAATTGATTTTGGCATGTATGAAAGTGTTTGGTTATTTTTTTAAAAATTATAATTTTGAGTTCATAATTGATTTTGACATGTACAATGGATGTTTGGATATTTTTTAAAAAATATGATTTTAAATTCATAATTAATTTTAACATATAACATGGGTGTTTGAATAAATTTTTACAAAATCATTGTTTTACCTTATTTTTAATTTTGCTTTTCAATTCTAACTAAAATCAATCTTATTAATTAACTTTATTAATTAATTATATATCACATAACATAATTAATTATATTTAAAATTAATTATATTAATTAATTTTTTTATAATCAGTTATACCTAATTAAAATTCAAAGCATAATTGCTTGTGATAACTTTGTGCGTGTATATATATGGATCAGTCACCCAGACACCACCTGTGCAAATGCATTGGGCCGATTTAGATGGGCAACACCGGCCCATCTCCTGAATAAGCATTGTAAAAATGGCCCAAATCACCACGGAGGAGATACGGGTTGTGTATGTGTAACTGTATACTCCATTCGATCTTATTTATAAATTATTTTTATCAATTTCATTAATACCAATGCAATAAAAGTATAAAAAATAAAATTTAATAAAATTATAAATATAACCTTCAAAAAGTAAATAAATTATATAATATTATTTTTCTATTTCTCTTTTTCTTATTTTTTAAGGATAGTTTAGACATTTCATTTAAAATAAAACATCACTATCAATTCAATAACTTATAAAGTGGACCACTTCAACTTTTTAAAAGGTAACCAATAAAGTGAACTAGAGGGAGCAGATATCACATGCATGTCTTAATCTTAACTGTTAATAACTGTTAATAATGACATTTCTCCCTTTTTTTTTTAAACCAAAACTGAAGGAGTTTCTTTCAACTACTACTCAATTTCAAAGGTGGATGAAAATTAGTGGCTTCTTGTTCAGACCAACCTAGAGCAAAAAACATTGAGCTCCCATATTCGACTTCAGTTTCAAAAGCGCAAGCCGTTCAATTATGACCAAAGAAAGGCGCGTCAATTGGCTTCCAAAAATTTGAGCATGACTCGATCTAGAACTATCGCTTCCAGAGGAACTATCACAACACTGATTTACTTAACAAAGAGGAAAGGCAGAGTAAACTGCACTTCTCCTCTTCTTTATTGAGCTGAGAATACAAAGAGCTCAAGTTGGTTTCAGAGCAGAATATGCAAACATACAAAACAACAATTGACAATGATAAAACATCACAGTACTAAATTACTGATTCACTCCCTTCTGTCTGAGTAATAAATTTCACTCCTATCAAATGGTTTACTTGTTCTTGGGAACATCTGCCGAGTTTTAGAATTCAGTCAGTGTCTTTCTAATTTGCACTTTCTTTTTCTTTTCTGGAGGACGTGGTCCCAAGGGACTTAAGTAAATGGTGGCGCCACAAGCATGTGAAGACTCCAACACAGGATCATAGGCTTTTGAGGATAGATGAAGGCCCTCATTGTGTGCCCTCGTGTACAACTCAAATGCCAGCTTTGGCTTCCCATCCCTAGCAAGAGCCTGAATCAGCATTTCATAAGTTATCTCATTGAGAGCGATCTTCTGAACTTTCATTCGGTGAAATCATTCATAGGCTGCACTGCTCATGCCACCCCGTGCACAGCCACTGACTATTGCATTGAATGTCACAACCGTGAGCTCAATTCCCAATGTTACCATCTCGGAAATGATGTCGTCAACTCTGTTAAAATTTCCCAGGGCAGTATGAATTGAAGCCATAATTGTGTAGGCATATGCATTTGGCTCGACCCCAACTTTAGGAGTGATTCCTGTTTGATCCATTTCGTTCATAATTGTTTCCACCTCTGCAAATTGTTGAGACTGTTTGACTGTCCCCAACAGACTATTATATATGAAAAGATTTGGGCTGAAAGAACCATTGGTTTCAGTCCTTTTCCTCTTCAACAAATTCATAAGAATTGATGCAGAATCCATTTTCTTCTCCTTACCAAAACCTCTCATGATGGTTGAATACACCTGAGGCGGCAATTCCCCTTTGTCCTTATGAATTTCCTCCATTTCATCTACTGTCTTAGCAGACTGCAAGTGCCCCAACATCAATTTAGAGTCATTCTCTCCTCCTTGCATTTGTTGTTCATAATTACTGTCTTGAACTTCATCCAAATTTAAACAGTTTATACCATCTCTCTCGCTGCCAAGTGATGAATCGTTCATGGAATCAGTATTCTCCCCAACAGCTTAGTCCTCCAATGCCCATGCTAAGGGAGCTAAGGATCCAATGTCATCCTTCTTTGGTTTGAAGACAGGAGCAAATTTAAATTTAACTCTGGAATTCGGGATTCCACAGCAAGCATCACTTCTATTAACTCTGGAATTTCTCGAACAGTCAAAATCACCGATAATTCTACTCTGAGAAACATCAAAAACAGGACCCAACCTCCTGTTCCTTCTAATTGTCGCACATATATAAAAATAATAATCTACTTCAAGGCTGAAATGAGGAACTAAACAGTAGCCGCCATTTGAGGGCCAAGCGCTTAAAGTTTGCATAATTCTGTCTATGAAATTGAAAAGCAAAGATAAAACAAAACCCAAGTCAAAAAAAATCTTGCTTGCAGCTCGAAAAGCAAAATCTTTCTGCTCCTGATAGCTTTTCTGGCGAAGAAGAAATGGATGAGAGCAGCAACTGAAGCTTGAAATACTTTGTTCTGGATTTGCGAATCTTTGGTGAATTAATCAGTGAAGAATGTTCGTGCCATGAAATTGATTTAGATTTAGCCCGTTGGGGTGCTCTCAATCCCATCCTTCGGTGGGAGAGGCTATGTTTTTCGGGAGCAGGTCATGGCCTTCTTGCTACCATTGATCGAAATGAACGAATCGTAATTGCTGAAAACCCGAAAGGCGAGAAGCAATACGCGGAAGAGGAAAATATAAATATGTATAAAAAAATAAATAAATTGGGGGAATGACATTTTGAGACCAATACATGAATTAAATTTTAGGTTAAAAATTGGTCGTTGATAATCTAACTAATTATATAATTATCCTTACTCTCTAAAATATTTCTTATTAAAATCTGGAAAATAAATTACAAAATTTCATATATGAGTGTTAAATTTTGAAATTTTAGGTTAAAATTTATGCATATACTCTGGAGCTTGTGTTTGTTAGTTAAAAATTAGAATAGCGGATGCAAATTCATCACATGTAAGTGATAAATTCATAAATTCTGTGTCTTACTACAAAGATTTAGCATGGATTGGATGATGACTGATGAACACCATCACCTCTAATGAGAATATGAGATTGAGCTGTTTAAATTTAATCTTGTATCAGGCTACAACGTGGCATGGGCCTTCTGAAAAACTAAAAACCGTGCAATTTGGTATTCACATACATTAGGCTACCCAAGCAATTAGATTTAAGAGAAAATTATGCTTCAGTATCGTAAGTTCAAATTTCTATTTTTTTGGGCCACAAGTCGGAAAAGATCTTTCAAATAAACTGGGATTCTGCTTTCTTTCTGCATAATTTTCACAGCTCATGTGACTTCACATCGTTGCTTAATGGACAGAAACTATTGTTGTCCTGACAATACGCAGAAGTGAGCAGAGATGTAACCAATAACACTTCTTCAGCCCCAGTGACAAAAAGAAAAAAGAAAAAGAAAAAGAAAGGCATTTCAATGGCAAGCTTTTTTCTGGGATTCTCGTGAGTGTGTTACACAAATCAGATAAAAAGCTAGAATGCAACTTTAAAGTAGCAAATTCTAATACCAAGGATGAATCCTTTGAAGCTGCTTCCGAAGAAAGATGAACATGGCCTGACTGATCCCCCTCTCATGGGACCTCTTGGGCCCCACGCTTCTCACCCTACCTTTTGACCTTATTATCATATCAATGAAACAAGCTGTAAGCACTTGATTACATTCCCCAGCTACTTCAACTTTATAACTTATTTTTTTTTTTCCCTGATCAAGCTGTCCCCCAGGCTTAGCTGAACTTCCACTATATAGACTTTACCTCCACCTTTGTTATTCCATTTGTTTTGTGTCTGTGTGCACGCGTGGGTTTACCAAACTAAACACAATACAAAGGCCATCATATACTCATAATATTGTAGTTACATGGAATATCCAAAAGGAATCAACACTTGCATTATAACAGAGCAAACGCCACTCTTCACACTGACACCGCATTGCATTAGCTTACACAGTTTTTTAATTGAACAAGTCGCAAACCGACGGAATATAACAGGTACATGTATATAGAGTTTGCTAGTCTAAGACGAAGAGAAGAAAGATGCATCATAATATTCAGCACTCTTCACTTTTCTCTGGCGGTTAGTACCTAATCACAGTTTATATAGTATAAACTAGTCAGACACTGATGATACGACAAGGAGTGTTAATGGGTTGGCTTCTTCCCGCAAGACCAAGCAGCTTCTTCTCTTCCTTCAATGCTGGATCCTGTAGCAACAGAACCTTGTCCTTGTCTTTGACCCCAACCATGTGTAGGTGTTCTTTATCATCTCTCTCTTTACCTTTGAACAATACCCTCTGCTCTCTGGGCTCCAGATTAGTTATCAGTGACAATATCGTCTTCAATTCCCCTGCAACAAACAATTCATTCACCACTTTTGTCAAACTCGTATGGGTTTTTCTCAGTGACGCCTAAAGTCTGAAACTTTGGGCCACAAATAAAAAATTGAACAAGAAAAGGATTACAAAAGTGGTGAAATGAGGTTGATTTATACCAAAAGTTGAAGTAGCTTCAACGGAAATGTCATGCCAGTGAGACACAGTTGAAACTCTCAGAGTGATGAGTCCCTCTCCTGCGTTTTGACTGGTGTCCCTTTTCTGAACAAGCATGCCACCTGGACGAAGCTCCCATTTAATTTCACTCATGCTTGTGCAATCCTTTTCTGATGGTGATAGGGTAGCTCTGTTTCCACTGCTCAGCTTGCAACTGCTTCTGCTAAACCTCATTGACCTTAGCTTGATCATCTTTCTCTCTGTCTTAGCTTTCTAGGAGAGAGGAAAACAGGTTGATGAAGATGAAGATGAGGGTAGAAGATGAACAGGCTAGGTATATAAGTACTAGCAAGAAAGCGTGGAAAAGGACAAGGATGGAAGCAAGAAAGCATGAATAAAATAGAAGCCGTCCTTTCGTTTTTTTATTTTGTAAATGGCCCAAGGTTCATAAGCACATGGGCAGTAGGTACAAATACACCAGCACGCATGCTTACTTTGTGGCCCAAACGTAATCCTAATCAACTGGTCGGCTAGCTGGTTTTCTAAAATGATATACTGTTTCCATGAATATTATTGTAAAGCACTGAGAAAGTCCTCTCAAGTCCTAATATTTTGGAATTGAGGATCATTCTTATTCAGAGATAAAAACCAGATACTGAAATGCTAGAATATTGAAGAAAGGAAAACTTTCATTGGGTGGTTTTATTTATAGTTAATCAGCAAGTTTACTTTCTACAATGGCAGTTAGGCAGCACTTATTTAAGGTATGAGCCCATGTGAAGCTAAGGTCAGAAGCTGCAGAAACGGAGAGGGATAAAAAAATGAACAAGAAACAGAGAGAAGCAAGAACAGACATAATAGTAATAATAAATTGCAGATGTGAGTCCGTTGAATCAGTTAACGTTGAGACAAAAAAGAAGACAAAGGCACCTGGCAGCCCCTTCATGTTCTATGACTGTGACACACGCTTCACCAATTATTGGATGTAGTTCTTGGTTCTTATCATCAATTTGTGCCATACATATGCATGCACCGATCCACTCATTGGGTAGTCCAATGGCTATTTATACCTTGTCCCCATTTTTAATCAAATTGTTGTCATATAATTCCCATGTTCATGTTCGTGCGTTTGGACGTTTGTGTTCGTCTTCAATAAACTTGCCGTGGCATTGGAACAACACTATCAAAAGCCATGGGTTTCATTTGCAAGGTTCCCCACCTCCTGATGTATATAAAAATAAGTTATGAATGTTCCCTATCTGATCAATATCCCCTGGTGGAAATTATATTTATGTCTGAAATTCTTATACAACACTACAAAAACATCGAATAATACATGTATATATTTGTCCCATGATTCGTCCTGTAATCAACATCAGGTGATTGTGCTTGAGTACGCATAAAAGGTTGCAGGCATTTTTGTGATTTATTTATTAGGACTGATTTACAGTACATGAACAAGCCTCTGTCATTTATTATCAAGATTTCACAATTTTCTAGCTTCAGACAAGAAATAAAACCATCAGTTGAATGTTATTGGAGTACCTTAAAAGAATTTAATATCTAATAAAAATTTGTAATAAATAAACATTAATAATTAATAAGTGAAATTATTATTTTAACAAGTGTCTCCTAATCTTTTTTCAGATATCAAATTCTTTGAAGGCTCCTTATTTAATGTTCTCCCAATTTTTTTGATTTACATGATATAAGAGTTTTAAGTTCAGGCTTTCTAGCATCTGCCTGTTCCTCGTTATCTATCAAACCACCTCAATTCTTCCATGTAATTGAACGAATAGGGCTGTGCGAAGAAAATTGTTAAATAGGGTTGGTAATTCGGGTAAGGCGGGCTGAGTTTAAAGTATTCTATCTTATCTAAAAAGCTTATATAGCCAAACTCATTCGGGCTTTGAGCTTATTCAGGCTGACTTGTATGCCCAAAACTTTTTAAAAATATTTTTTTATTTTTTAAACTAATTTTAATTTTTAAATAACTCTATTAAGCATAAAATATTATTTTTACTTTAAAAGAATAAAATAAAAAATAATAACTTATCAACTTTGCACTTAAGTAATAATATTACTGTTTTATTATATTATGTGTAATTTATTTATGAATATTTTATTTACTTATAAATTAATGTTTTAGTTGTTTAAATATTGGTCTCGTCATGGTCATATATAAATATTTTATATTTTTAATTAAATTATATTATTTTAATTATGATCAAGTTAATTTCAATTTAGTTACGACTAGACCACTAACATAAAATTATCGCCCTAATTGGTCCAAAATTTTTAATAACTTTTGAGTAAGATATATTTTTTATTTTTAAGAATATAAAAAATACTAGTTATTATAATATATAAAAAATTATTTAATTTTGAGTAAAATACTATTTTTTCTAGGATTATTTTTCTTTTACTTTTATATTATTTAACCTTTACATACAAAGGGCATCCATTTTAATTTATTCTTAATTTTTAATCAAGTATGGCATGAATAGCAATCAGATAATTATTTAAGAATATTATTTTTTTTATTATGTCCATCTAATAATATAATTGAGATTCGTACATGCTCAAATTTTATTTTTTAAAATTATTTTTAATTTAATTTTTAACTTCAAAATTAATCATCTTATTTTATAAAAAATATAAAATATTTTTTTTGAATACTCGACAATGTATGGGACTCAAAAATTTTTAAAAAAAATAAATGGGTCTTAAAATATAAAAATTAATATTAAAATATATTTTAAATATTATTTTATTAATTAAAAATAATAAAAATATGAAAAAATATATATTTTTTTAAAATAACTATAGTAATACACACAAATATATAATATTTTAATATAAAATAATATAAAACTTAAAAATTAATTAATATTTATTATATTTTATACTTTTTTAAAGTATTATTTTTTTTATTCGAGGGCTAAGTCTGAATCTGATCATACATGGTTTAAATTTTTTGAGATCCATTAAAGCTGAAAAATTTAAATAATATTATTTTTTTAAACTTGTCTTTTAATTTTTTTAAACAGATTTAAGCTGGTCTATCAAATTTATCTCAAATTATGGGCTCTATTGCTAGAGGCATTCCCTCCTTCAATGTTTTCTTGTGTTACATGAATATGTATTGTGGTTTTTTTGGGTGATCCGGGGAGTAGAAATCATGTTTAAAATTTTATGTTTTTTGTCCGTATTCAGGGCAAATTGACACTGTTATGGCATCTGCTTCCCTTGCATGGCGAATTGTGCCTACAGGATTCCCATGACAAAACCCGAGAGGAGCCCTGTCTGTCATGCCACATCCTATTGCGAGTTTCTGGCAGGTTTTAACAGAAATTTTAAAAATTATATATATATATTAAAGATATTAATTAATTAATTAAAAAACTAATCAATAAAAAAATTTAAAAAATACTAAAATACATATTTAATTTTATAAAATATTTTTTTAATTCTCTAATTTTAGTATTGCTAACTTCAAATAATTATATTTAATACTTCTTCTATAATATTTTTTAAACATTTAAATATTAAAAAATATAAAATATTTTTAATTTTTTAAAATGTAATTGTTATTTTTTTTAAATATTTTTATTAATAAATGATTTTATATTTATCATAAAATATTTAATAAGAATGCATATAAAAAAATAAAATTAATTTAAAAATAAATAATTATTTTATTAAAAAATAAAATTTAATTAAAAATATTTTATAATTTTTAAGAGAGATAGTGTAAGAATTTGTTGGGGATGAAAGTAACTCTGTTATAGTCAAAGAAATAAAAAACATATTTTAGGTAGATTATAATTTAAAAAAAAACACACACACACACAAGCCCAAACGCTCGTTATAGGTTCGGTATCATCTACCTCACTTTCTTCTCTTGCCATATAACTCCCTGTGTCCGCCACCGTTCATCCCTCCCCCACCGTTCATCGTCGCCGTGCTCCTCCTCCATCCACTGTCCCGTCTTGCCCCACTCTTCCTCCGTCCTCCACTCTCCCTCACCATAGCCGTCGTGCTCTCCCTCTCTTTGTCTTCTCCGCGGTGCTTCTTCTTCCTCACCATGGGTGCTAGCGTCCATTTCCAGGTTTCGTCCTCTTCGCCTTAGCTCCCTCCATCTCCGAACCCCTTCACTATAGTTTTCCACCATTTGTTACCCTTAGCTTCTTCAAATTGCATCAGCCGTTCCCCTGTTTTTCGTGATCCCCACCATCGTTCTCATAACCGCCTCAGTCTTCCCCATTGCTCGCCTTCTCTTCTTCTTCATCACTGAATCGACCGCATTCCACTCCATTCCACTTCGTTTCTTGGGTAATTTTTGTGGGGTTTTTCGTTTTGTTCCTCCGTTTGCTCCGTCCGTCAGGTATGAACTTTGAGTCACATTCTTTTTCTTTTCCTGTTCTGCGTGCAACCTGTTGGGATTTTGAGTTTACTTGGCAGTAATCTGCTGTGATGTTTAAGAGTTTGAATTTTTTTTTTTTTAGTTTTTCAGTTTAGTCTGTTTTAATAAATGTTGGCTTTTAATTTTTGATTGCTGCTTTGATTTGGCACTGCAATTGAATGTTGTTCTGTCAACTGACTTGAACTTGATTTGTTCTGTACAATAATGCTCTGAGTTGGTGCTGAAGATGGGCTGTTCACCTGAATTTCTGACTCTGTGATTATATTAGGTATGTTCAATTGTGATTTAGCTCGAATCTCAGGAATTTTTGTGTTCCATCAGCTTCCTTCATTGATGCTTCACTGGATTTTTTTTTTCCTCTCTCTATTGCTGTTACTGTGTGTTTAAGCTTGTTGCTTTGAAATCATTGCTTTCTCCGAACCGCTGGTGTTTGCTGTGTTGGCTGCCCTTGTCTACCATTTCTTCATCTAATTTCAAAACATTTCTATTGAGCAGGTCCACTTCTTCCATGGACGCAGGTGGGTTCATGTTTTCTTGCTGGATGGACTTAGCTGAGGAGCAGAAATTTGAATCAAGCACACTGTTAAAATTCACGTGGGGAAACTGAAGGATAGAGCAGGCGAAGAAGAAGCAAAGAAGAAGATAAACCTTCTCTCAAGAAATTTCTCAATTTTTGTTTTTTCATGTTTGGAAGAAGCAAGCATGTCAGTTCTCCAACTGAATGCCCCCAACCTTAATTTTCCCTCCATCATGGACTCCTCCGATGTTTTCTATGTTAATAAACAACCAAAAAGCGCATTTCCTCAGCCCATTACAGCACCACCTCCACATCCCCCATCTCTTCTCTCCTACTTGTTCTTAGACTCTGTAACTTATACCAAATTAATTCAATCATCCGCTAAAACTGGATCTCTGATACATGGAAAACTTGCCCATGCACACATGATCAAGACTTCCTTCCAACCCTGTTTATTCTTGCTCAACAATCTTTTATACATGTATAGCAAATGTGGTGAATTATATAATGCTCAAAATCTGTTTGTCAAAATGCCCAAACGCAATATCGTTTCATATAACTCTTTGATTTCTGGCTATTCCCAGACAGGTATGCATGCTAAGGTCATGCATGCTTTTGGTCAGGCCAGAATGGATGGTCTTAAACTTGATAAGTTTACCTATGCGGGCGCTCTTGGAGTTTGCGGTCATGCTGGGGATGCACGACTTGGTAAGCTAATTCACAGTTTGGTTATTGTGGGTGGATTGAGTGACCAAGTTGTTTTGGTTAATTCTCTTATTGATATGTACTCAAAATGTTGCCAGATTGAGCAGGCGAGATTGTTGTTTGAGACTTCCACAGTCCTGGACGAAGTTTCTTGGAATTCAATGATTGCTGGTTATGTTCGATTAGGTGTCAATGATGAGGTTTTCAAACTCCTAATGAAAATGCACCGATCTGGATTGATGTTGAGTAACTATACCTTAGGGAGTGTGCTAAAGGCATGCAGCACCAAGAATTTGAATCAACTTGGTAAAATGCTTCATGGATACATAGTGAAGCTTGGTGTGGACTTAGACATTGTTGTGGGGACTGCATTGCTCAATATGTATGCAAAGAGCGAAAACTTGATCAATGCTATTCAAATTTTCAACTTTACACCCAACCCTAATATTATCACTTATAATGCTATGATTGCTGGCTTCCTGCAAGAAGAGACTATCTCAACTGGATATGCCCGAGAAGCACTTCATCTTTTCTGCAAGATGCAAAGGCAAGGAATGAAGCCGTCCAAATTTACATTCTCAAGCATACTTAAAGCTTGCATTGGTGATGAAACTTTTGAGGTTGGAAAGCAAATTCATGCTCAAATTTGTAAAAACAATCTTCAGTCAGATGAGTTCATTGGCAGCGCTTTAGTAGACTTGTACTCATTTTCAGGTTCAATAGAGGACGGGCTAAGGTGTTTCAACGCAACTCCTAAGTTGGATGTTGTCTCATGGACATCCATGATTGCAGGTTCTGTTCAAAATGGACAGTTTGAAAACGCACTGTCTTTATTCCATCAACTCTTGTCATCTGGAATTACACCAGATGAATTTATGATATCTAGTGTGATGGGTGCTTGTGCAGATATGGCCATGGCAAGATCTGGAGGACAGATTCAGAGTTATGCATTAAAATCTGGGACTGCCAATTTTACTATTGTTCAGAATTCTCAGATTTGCATGTATGCAAAGTCTGGAGACATTGATTTGGCTAAGCAGACCTTTCAAGAGACAGTGAGTCCAGATGTGGTATCCTGGTCTGTGATGATATGCAGCACTGGACAACATGGATGTCCCAAAGAAGCTTTACAACTTTTTGAGTCGATGATTGCTACTGGAATTGAACCCAATCAGATCACATTTCTGGGGCTTTTGACTGCTTGTAGCCATGGAGGTCTAGTTGAAGAAGGACTACAATTCTTTGAAGCCATGAAGAAAGATTATGGCATGGCAGCTAATGTAAAGCACAGTGCTTGCATTGTTGACCTGTTAGGTCGTGCTGGGAGATTAGAAGATGCCCAAAAATTTATCTTTGATTCAGGCTTTGAAAATGATCCTGTATTATGGCGTGCCTTGTTAAGTGCTTGCAGAGTTCATAAAGACATTGTCATGGCAAAACGTGTTGCAGACAGAGTAATAGAGCTCGAACCTCAAGCAGCTGCATCTTATGTGCTTATTTATAATATCTTCAATGATGCTGGGAAGGAGAAGCCTGCTTTAGAAGTTAGGAAGCTCATGCAAAATAGAGGAGTTAAAAAGGAACCTGGTATAAGTTGGATTGAAGTAGGAAACAAGGTTCATTCTTTTCTGGTGGGAGATCGCTCTTATCCAATGAGTCAATTGATTTATTCACGGTTGGAAGAAATGATGGTGAAGATAAAGAAAATGGTCTCTGATACTGAGAAACTTCCTTTGAGCATCTCAGAATTTGAACTCAGTGGCAAATCAGGCATGAAGAACCACCACAGTGAGAAGTTAGCAGTAACTTTTGGAATACTCTTTCTGCCAGAATCAGCTCCAGTGAGAGTGATGAAGAATCTGAGAGTATGCAATGATTGTCACGCAACAATAAAGCTCATATCTAAAGTAGAGAAGAGAGAAATAATTCTTAGAGATGCTATTCGTTTTCACCACTTCAGTGAAGGTTCTTGTTCTTGTAAAGACTACTGGTAGCAGAAGTAAGATCAGTTTCAGGAACTAGGAAACAAGGAGCATTTTTGTCCGGAGGATTAATTGGGCAGGGAGGACTAAGAGAGAGATTGAGATTACTTCGTTTATATGATTCTTTTCTGAAGTGCTTTAATGAACACAAAACCACACTCGCCACAATGCAAGATTGTGAAAAAGGAAATCTTTGTTAGACAAGTTTGAATTGTTAGATGAAATCATGAAAGCATCTGATATGAAAGTGACAAAAGCGTAGTAATTGTACAAAAGTTAGCCCGTTTCATTGCCCCTTGCATTTCATGGGGGCAAGAACAAGATTTCAATTACTTCTTTTATGTCTGTAGTTTTTACGTGATTCTGAATGTTTAATTTGGCCTCTGTAAGTTAGAAATCTGCAATTAACTTGTTCAAACATTTTTTAAGAGAATTTTAATTGTCCCTATAAACTTCCTCCAATATATTGTCAATTTTGCTAACGTGGCTGACAATTAATCCATCGATTTTTCCAGGAATGGTTTCCAATTATGTTTTGAGACACGTCGTTCCCATTCTGCAATTTGTGAGCAGTTTTTTTGCTTGGAAACAGAAGGTAAATAAGACGGCTTCTTGCAGAGAATTGATAATAGCCCTTGTACGAAAAAAAAAATGGCGTGCTAAAATCTAGACTTGTTGCCTACAAAATTCACCAATTAATTAAAAAAAGAGAAAAATGTCTCAGTGTATGAATGTAGTCCCCAATAGAATAATTTGGCTTCTGAAAAATGAAATGAAAAGGATAAGATTGGAGGTTGTAGATCTGAATACAGCCAAATACTCTGCCTTCATAACATTCTTATCCTTCCACTCTCTCATGGTCTTTTATATTGATGAAAAAAAATTGAAAAATAGAAAATGGGGCATTCCGAGAATTGAACTCGGGACCTCTCGCACCCTAAGCGAGAATCATACCACTAGACCAAATGCCCTCGTTAGACTTTCGTGTAAAATTAAATATACTTCTTACTACTTTTTATTTTCATATTATTCCAGCCTGTGTCTCCGGTTGTTCGTCTTTTTTTTTTTTTAACCCAATTCTGCTCATTTTTCGAAACTTTTTTATTATTTCACTATTAAGTCTCTCATTCTATGACATCTTCGCCTCTCAATTTAGCTGATTTTCACAGTATATATATATATATATATTCTAGAAGAATATGCTTATCACATGCGGCATCTACAGCAGATTCGTCGTAAAAATGTTTACAAAATTAAATTGGCCATTGAATTAGAAGAAAAAATATCAGTTATGATTTGGTGGACTTTTCTTTCTTTCATCTGCATCTAGCACATAAGAAAATAAAAATGTATTGTCTTAATGATAATACCACCTCCCTCTTTTGAAAAATGTCCTGATTTTGAACTCAACATTTGACATGTATTGTGTTAAAGGCATGCAAAATTGGAACATTATATGAACCAGGGGGGAACGAAAAAAACTAGAAAAAGGGATAAAATGACCCGAGGCTATACATACATCCAAACTCCTTATTTTGCAGTACAAGAATCTCTCAAAGGGATTCGGTTTCTCTCATCTTGGAAAGCCACAATTAACATAGAGAAACCACATGCATGTTTGAAGACTCTATATTTTATATGCCCTAAATGTATATAAAATAATCATTGAATAGTCATAATAATAATAATAATAATTATAAAGCATTAAACCATGTATGCATGGCCAGCAGAGGAGTTATGTACATGTCTAGAAGAGATCGGAAACGTCGTAGTCCACGAAACCATCGGGGCCAGGAGCTGCAGCGTTGTAACTAGACGGCGAGGGAGCGTCAACCTCATCGGGAAGGTCATAGTATTGGATGCGGTTGTCAACGCCGGCCGGGCCCGGGGCAGGTGCTGAAGAGGGAGAGGACCAAGGAGCGGATGATATTGAAGGAGATGAGGAAGAAGACGAAGGCGAAGAAGAAGATGAAGGAGATGGAGAAGACGAGGGCGAAAATGAAGGAGAAGGCGAGGGAGCCATGTCGGCGACGGCCACGGCCACGCAGAGCAGAGCTAGGAGGGCGGCGAGCTGGAGTGGGCCCAAAGCCAATGCCATGTTTCTTTGATTGCAGAAGAAGCTAAGGCAGTACTATGTGAGGAGACAAGTTGTTTGAGAGGAATTGAAGGGAGAGATAAATACAGAGATTATAAAGAGTGAATTGGAGAGGAAAAAGATCGGGAGTGAGATTGATGAATGAATGTCAAGTAAGGAAGGTGGCTCCTTATGTATTTATAGGTTTGCGAGAGAGGAGAAGGAACGCGAGCCTGTGGTAGATACATCACGGAGACTCGCCTCTTCTTTCTCTTACTGTTATTAATCACCAACGCTCATTAATTATGGTTTTTTTCACTATTTTTTCTTTTCATTATTTATCACTTTTTTTTTTTAAGTTTATCTGTATTTCAAATATTATATAAGTCTGGGTGGGTGTGTAAAAGTTGGTTTGACTTTATTTATGATACCAATTTACCACGTTTTAGGACTTGTTTGATAATTTATTTTAAAAATATTTTTTTTCAGAATAAAAGAATTAAAAAATTTGTTTGATAACGTGTTTTTTAAAAATATTTTAAAAAATAAAAAATAAAATATTATTATAAAAAAGCAGAAAAATAAAAACAACTTTCAAATATTTTGGGATTATTATTTTGGAGAATGAAAAAAACACATATTTTTATTATATTTTTCTGAGAACATGTATTATAAAATATTAGTTTTTAAAATAATAAAATAAAAATAATTTCAAATAGTTCCTAAATATTTTAGATATCTCTTTTCCTTTAAATTAATAAATTTGATCATATATTGCTCCAAGATATATAGTAATTTTAATTTGATCATCATTAATGATGGATGTCTTGAACATGAGGACCCTTCGCCGATGAAAATTATATGCAAACTTTGTGAAGGGTTACGACAGGCGATGCAAGTTGATCCCGCGCGTAAAGGGCTCGAGAGACCTTAGACAGATGCTTATTAATGTTGTTTAACATTAAACACGCACCCACGCCAGTTTGATACATAAAAATATACATATATTCAAGACCAGTGGAGTGATATGCAAGTGCGAGAGAGAGAGAGAGAGAGAGAGTGAGCGTGTTGTAATAATGGGTTTGATAGGTGAATGAGTGTATGTTCGTAGACGTGATGGATGGATCAGCTCCACTTCATGACCACATCCTCCATTATGGTTTACGAACGTGAACCTCGAAGTTCAAACCCCTCTCGCTCTCGCAACCATATATATATATAGATAGATACTTTTGACCCCACCGGCGATCATCTTTTGCTCCCCGATTGACGCCAAAAAGTCTCTGTCTTGACAAATTTCATTTTTTTTTTCTCAAACAGAAAGCACCTTACAAGTTAACATGGTTGATTCTAATTATATGTAGCTGACTTTTCTCACTTCGCATGATTATTAACGTTGCTTTTAGTACAGCTTTGTCCCGAACAGAAAAAAGATGTGGTGCACTACATGAAATGGATTGCATCATTTCGCAGCCTCTTACCTTCAATATATTGAGTATTTAATCTCATCAGTGATATAAATGTCCCCTTTTTCAATAAATAAATAGCTAGCTAGGAGAATATATATTAGATGATCAGCTTAGATGGGTTAAAGTGAGTACCAGAAAGCAGACAGGTTAAAGAATGAGACAGTAGTCCTTTAGTAAGAGGAGGCGTGCACATGAAAGTTGAAATACCATTGAATCAAAACCAACAACACTTGGTGTACTTGCTTCCCATTGCACAACCCAGATTGTCAAAATATATATATATATATATATATATTTATGATGCTACGTACTCGCGCACCACATAATTGTATGCCCTTTTTGAAGAGAAAAAACTAGAGGTTGCAACTTGTAAAATAAATAAATAGCTAAAGAACTGCTGGGAAATGAAAAGCCAATTACAGAATTTTTCTGGTTCCTAGTAGTTAACTTCCTCTTTGCTTCCCCAGCAGTTAGTTTATATATCAGCAACGGACGCCCTTCCTGCATGTAAGCACACCTGCAGTCATGGTCATGGAGCCGACCAGAGAAGACGGTCTTGCACTGAGACTTGAAGCCCTAGCATAGATTGAAGAAGCACCAGCACCAGATTGCCTGAAGTAAGCTCCATTCAAGAACAGGTCACCTTCTGACCTCCAATTCCAGCTCATCCACTCTCCTTCTGAAGCATCCTCGTGCTTCGTCACCTCCTTGCTAAACCTGTTGTCTGGTGCAAGAAACCTATTCCCTTGGCTGTTTATGGTAGGATTAGCACTCCCACCAATCGCATACATTTCCCAGTGTGTATAGTCATTGTTCACCACATGAAAATACCCGTGCCTACACCTGCATTAACAACGTAATTAACCACCACATTACCCAACCATTTCAATTAACAAGCACATATCTGAGTTTCAGATTGTGAAGTTTCATTTATATGCGTACCTTGGCATTCTCTGGACAAGGCCTTCTCCGAAGTGGTTGAAGGCGATAGTGGCTTGCATGTTCTTGTCTTGAGTGTAAGAATCACTGTGGCCCAAGAGCATGACCTTATCATGGTGGGTCATGTAGTTGTTGGAGATGGTGATGGCAGTGGATCCATGGATAGCGTCGATGAGACCGTCGTGGCAATTAGAGAGGGAGCAATGGTCAACCCATACATGCCTGGAATTGAATATGGAGATTCCGTCACCGTCCGACACTGTCCACCACCCATAGTGGCGAGGAGAGTCTCTGATATCGGCATGACCGGTGGGCTTACAGTCATGAATGTGAATGCCGTGAATGATAATGTTGCTCACGTAATGTATTGTTAAGCATCCCCCACCGGCAATGTGAACACTCGCTCCCCTTCCGTCAATGGTCTTGAAGGAGTTCATCACCAGCTCTTGCTTCAGAGTTATCACCATGTCTCTCTTGAAGATAATCCACAACGGCTCGTCTTGGATAACGGCGTATCTCAGAGTTCCTGGCTTAGGGTTTACCGGGTCATCGTCGCCGGAATCAGTGACCACATAGATTCGACCGTTTCTTCCGCCGATGGCATCCTTGCCGAACCCGATGGCGCAATCGGCCAGCCTCTGCCGGTTCCTCTCCCAGTTCGGGTCGCACCTCCAACAGTCGTCAATAGGATTGCCGGTTCCACACGATAAATACCCTAGATTTCTTCTGGAGGCATTGATGCTTCTGTATTGATAATAACAACGACAATGTGACTCTATTAATTTCCTGCAGCTTATTAATAACAATGTAGTACTGAAATGCTAATCAATTGATTAATTACCTGTGTACGTCTTGTACAACTAGCTCAGGGTCTTGACCTGCGACGCAGGAAGCAATGAGAGAGAGAGAGAGGAGAAGAAAGCAAGCTGCGAGACGAGCCATGTTCGGTCTGAGTTTGTAATGAACAAAGTGAGGTAGAGGCGGGGGATTTCAGGTGAACCGGGGGGTTTTAAAGTAAGAAAAAGCCGAGAGTAATGGCGTGATTAATAAGACCTAGTGGGGCCCTTGTTATCGTAATTTCTGGTGTTTGGTTCCCTGTATTTTTCCAGTACTCTGACACTGCTGGTATAGAGGCCAGAGCCAGAGTTAGTTTGAAACCGTTATGTATTAGTACCTCCGTGAAATGAAAATCAAGCTCCTCAAGTCAAACTGGTTGACCTCTGTCATCAAGTGGGTTAGTGGTTAGGTCCACCACGTAAAGTGTTATTCTAATCCCTACTCCTTAAATTATGCCATGTTCAGAAACAGTGTGATCCAAAAGCCACTTCTTCATTCACAAGGCTAATAAATTTCAGAAGTTGCGGTTTGTGGGCGTGCACACGTGAACTTGTTCTGTATTTGTGCCTAAACATCCTTATTCCTTTCCAACAAGTAATTCAGGCCCATCTGGTTGCCAAACTTGATGAGATGGGATAGAAATGATCCAAATATGCCACGAATAAGGATAGGTCAATCATATTTATAAAAAAAGAAAATAATTTAATTGTTAAATTAAGAATCAAAATTCATGAAATTAACAAAATGTGTAATGATTCCTATATTTATGATATGTTGTATCAAGTTTTATTAGACTCATCATAAAAAAAAAAGTAATTTAATTTATTTTTATTTTTTCTAACAACTAAATGGGCATCACAATAGTATTAGTAATTCTTATCAACAAATTAAATATTAGTTCAGTTGATAAAATTTGATCGATAACTCATAAAAAAATATAAATTTAAATTCTATCATGGATGTAAGAATCTTAACGGTGTAATCAAACTCATTTAACTTTTTGTAATAAAATAAGTATTTGTAATTCCTACATTCCTATCCATATAGGATTGAAAGAGTTGTAAAATAGTGTAGAAAATAAAAAATCCAGTCAATTGAAAAGAGTACTATATAGCAGTACCTTAACAAAATAATAATAAAGCTTTGATGCTTTGTGCGGGTTAGTTGGATGACAGCACTTGTTTTCACCTCTGGGCCAATTGAAGGTACTGATTCAGCCACTTCTATAATTGGGACATTTTTTCTTGACCCCTCCTGCAATATGATTGCTGTCTTTGACTTTTTACTCATTAATTCACACAGAGCAGCTTGTTTCATGACCTCGTTCACATGTTCTCTCCCTGTTTCTTTTCTTTGATCCTTTCATGTTTAATTGTTGTTAAGAGAATGGAGAGTGAATCATTATGTGCCAGCCTAGACACACCTTATCCCGGAACTATCTCTTGCAATATATTTCTCGCTTTTCCCCACTAACTGCGGAACGTACGTTTCACATGCAAATGGTCAATTACTAGACTTCAATATTTTTTTATGAAAACACATAATCGTCCTCTTTATAATTCTATCGAATTTTGTTTCACATGCAAATGGTAAATTACTACACTTCAATACTTTTATGAAAAAACATAATCACCCGTCTTTATAATTTTATCATTTTTTTTAATTTTTGTAATTTTTTTAATATTTTCAGTATTTATTGACATTTTTAAAAAGGTTGAAACTATAGAGACCTAAAAAAACAAACATCATCTATTTTTTTAAAAATTATCTAGATTGAAAAAATTAAAAAAAAAATTATAAAGACTAAAAACAATACTTGATAAAATTATAGGGACCGATGATTGTATTTTTTTAATTTTTAATAATATATGCTTTAGTTGAAAAGTCAAACAAATTGAAAATGAAAATGATAACTAGGGACCCCATAGCAATACTAATGACAGTTACATACTTCATATTATTAAAATCTCAACAAGAAATCATAGTTTTTAATTGCAATTAAAAAATGTGAATAATCAATTAAAAAATTTATTAAATACTTGTGATTATTTGTAATGCCAATTAAAAATTTACGAGAGTTAGTTATAAATATTAATTTTTTTGTTGTTAATATACAGATAAATCATTTGAAAAATCAAGTAAATACATCTAAAAATATTTGTAATGTTAGTTAAAAATTTATAAGAGTTAGTTGTAAATCATAAGTCAATTATTTATAATTTTTTGATGTCAATATATAAATAAATTACTTTAAAAACCTATTAAGTATGTTTAAAATTATTTATAATGTTAGTTGTAAATTTATGAGAGTTAGTTATGAATCACAAGCCAATCACTTGTAATTTTTTATTATTACTTAAGAAATTAACAAAAGATAGTTGGGAATCTGTGTAGCTTAGTTGTGAATTTACTAAAATTTATTGTGAATTTTAAACCAATTAACAAAAGATAATTAATTTATTACAAATAAAAACTATAATATATTATTAAAATTTTAATAATTTAGGATGCATAATTGTTATTAATATTATTATAGGGTCCCTAATTTTCATCTTCCCAATAACAAAATCGATGGCTGAATTCAGTCAATTTGGGTTTGGGTTTTCTTTCAGTGATAAACGAATTTAAACCATTTTCATTGAGGAAAAAAAAAGTGACACAAAATAAGATTTTTTTTTTAAATCTCCAACCCTCAAATAATTTCGTTCTATTTTAAAGAATAACAGACTTGTCGAATTAAGATTCACATTCAGTACAGAATTAACACGTAAAATAGCTTTGTGTGTTGTTTACCATTGACGGCAACTGAAAAGGCGGTCCAAAATTTGTAATTATGACACTTAAACTTGATGGAATACTCTAGAAATGTTATTGTAATTGCCAACCAACCTTCTTTTTTAAAGCATGATAAGGATCCAAATATTAGGCAACCTAACCACAAATGATGACTCTGCCCGTGGCCCAAAAAATTGATAACTCTGTTCAAGTAGAGTTCCAAGGGCTCTTATTAAGATAAATTTAAGGAAAAAATTATAAGCTGGTTCTTAGAAAATGGATTTACTTCATGTATTATTTGAGAAACTACAGTGGCTTGGAGATGACTTTTGGGATTTGAGTGTAAATAAATTTGCATATGAAATAATTAAAATGCCCTTCGCCCACCCTTTGACCAGAAATTTGACTGGCCATGACAATTGATCACCAGTCACTAATTGGTTAAAGACTTTAATAATTTTTTTTTTTGGTCAAAGACTTTAATATTGATAAGTCGAGTTTTAAATTTACAAGTCATACTTTTTAGATTTAAAAGTCAATTTTTTGGATTTACAAGTGAACCAGAGTATCTTTTACTTTTGTTAAATTGAAATTTTGAAGTTTTGGTTTTAAATTTTAGAAGATAACTTATAAATTTAAAGGTTAACTTGTAAATCACAGAGGTTTACTTGTGATGTATAGATTAAATACTAAGTATTATATTTTAATTAAATATTATTAAAATAAAATTAATAGTATTATAGTGATTGCTAGAGCCGCTGTGGGTGATAATGGTTCGCTGACCAATCAATAATAATTAAAAATTTAGCTAGTCGGTCAACACCAATTAGCTATTGCCAGCCATCAATTAATGGTCAATGATAACAACAATCTAAGGAATCAGTTCAAAGACATTTATATAATTTTATAATAAAAAATAATTACAACCAAACTATATTATCATGAAAACTTGAAGATAATTTAGTAAATTGGTGAGACTTATTTATAAGTAAGTTTCATATTTACTTAGATCCACCTCTAGGTTTTTTGATTTCGTGGTTTTCTTTGTTTTATTTTAAGTTAACATTAAAAAATTAGGAACTATAATTAGTGCAGATGAAGACGCCCACAATCTGTGGAAGTTGGGAACCAAACAAAAACAAAAACAAAACAAGAGAAGCAAAAAGACGAAATTGTTGTTGCATTTGCATGCACTAGTGCACGAATTGGACAGATCACGTAACTATCAAAAGCTCACAAGCTCAGCTATTAACATTGAAGGTATCGCCAGCTTTAAATTTGAAAGTTGATGAACATCGTTTGTGACGGTGCGCGTGTGTTGATCTCCGCCCCTATGAGGCCTTCGCTTCCCTTTTATTCAGCCTCTTGCTCTTCCTCTGAATTCTCTCTATCATCAAGTTCTCATTTTATCTCTCCAACTGTTCTTCAATATGACTCCAGCACAGGGCGGCGATGACAACCATGCTTCAATCGCATCCAAAGTTACGGTTATCGGAAGTGGCAACTGGGGCAGTGTTGCTGTTAAGCTGATCGCCTCCAATACCCTCAACCTCACCTCCTTTCACGGTACTTTTCGATGCCGCTCTGTTTATTTTCGTTTCGATGAATCTTACAACTCATCCCATGCTTTCTGTAAATTCTTGAATCTACCCCTTGATGGCACTGTATGATTAATTTAGACGAAGTGAGGATGTGGGTGTACGAGGAGACATTACCAAGCGGCGAGAAACTAACAGATGTAATCAATCGAACCAATGTAAGCACAAGACATGCGTGTCACTCTTGGACTTGCAAAATATCGATCCAATAATGTGTCCTACTCTACTTCGACAGGAAAATGTTAAATATCTGCCTGGAATTAAGCTTGGAAAAAACGTATTTGCGGATCCAGACCTTGAAAATGCAGGTAGCAGTATCTTTCTTTTTCTTGTTTAGTTGTTTTATGTCACGGCAATACCAAAAGGGGACCAGAGTTTGAATAGAGAAAGGCAATGAGATTTCACAAGTATATGGAGTACTATTCACTGATAACTTACGCTATCAGGTGAATTTTGTGGTTAAATTGAAAGCTGTTCTGACTGGGTAATTATGCAGTGAAAGATGCCAATATGTTGGTATTCGTGACCCCTCACCAATTCATGGAAGGAATATGCAAGAAGCTAACTGGGAAACTAAGGACAGATGCAGAGGCAATTTCCCTTGTGAAAGGTATGGAGGTCAAGATGGAAGGCCCATGCATGATCTCTAGTCTCATCTCCCAGCAACTGGGAATCAATTGTTCTGTTCTTATGGGAGCCAACATAGCAAATGAGGTAATCAGAAGAGCCTGCAGTTAATTTCTGTAATAATCACATAATTCACTTGGCTGTTCTAAACAATTTTGTTCATACACACACACACACAGATAGCGGTGGAGAAATTTAGCGAAGCAACAGTTGGATACAGGCAGAACAAGGATGTTGCAGAAAGATGGGTCCGTCTGTTTAGTACTCCCTATTTCATTGTCACCGCTGTGAGTGCAGCACATCCTCTAATTGATATACAACAAAACTTGTTGAAACTATTCAATCCAGAGGGACTTTATCAAGTAAACTTTGATATTAATGGATAATGACATGACACAAACAAAAAAGATAATGCCTTATGAATCATATGATCGTGAGAACTTTGAAACTTTCATTAACAATTATAGGATATGAAGATTTGCTTTGTATGTAATAAATAGGTCCAGGATGTTGAAGGAGTGGAACTGTGTGGAACCCTGAAAAATGTTGTGGCCTTGGCTGCAGGTTTGTAGTTTGTAGTACGGTAATGTACTCTTTTCTCATTTTCAACTTTTGTGAATGACCAAGAAATAAAACACAAATGGGACAGGTTTTGTTGATGGCTTGGAAATGGGAAATAATACAAAAGTGAGTTTCAATGATGTCATGTCCGGAAGGTTTCCAAAACTTGATCCTTAATTTTCGAACTGATTTTGTTCATCAATATGTATGCTTAGGCAGCAATCATGCGACTTGGTCTGAGAGAAATGAAGGCATTTTCCAAGCTGTTGTTTCCATCTGTTAGGGACAGCACCTTTTTTGAGAGTTGTGGTGTAGCTGACCTTATCACGACATGCTGTAAGGAAGTTTATTGACTTCACTTTAACTGTGAGAGTTTTACACCTCACTGCTTCCTTGGTATTAATAAAACCAATATCATTTGTGGCAGTGGGTGGAAGGAACAGGAAAGTTGCAGAGGCTTTTGCAAAGAATGGAGGGAAGAGGTCAGTTTTTTTCCTATCCAAACCAATTTCTCTGGTGGGGAAAGGAGAATTTTTGTCCAACATTTCTGTTTCTTTACTTATAGGTCTTTTGATGAGCTTGAAGTAGAGATACTGCAGGGGCAAAAATTGCAGGTGCATACGTGAGATGAAACTATCCATACAAACTGTAAAATCACGTGCATTGATCGTACAGAGTATTTCAATATTAAGTCTAACATTTTCAGCAACAGTTTTAGTTATATATCTCTGAATTATTCCTGTTTGTGTCCTAACTCAAGTTTCTTGCACCTAGGGTGTCTCCACTGCAAGAGAGGTTTATGAGGTTCTAACACATCGTGGATGGCTAGAGTTGTTTCCCCTCTTCTCAACTGTGCATGAGATATGCAGTGGCCGCCTTCCCCCATCGGCCATAGTTGAATACAGCGAGCGCAAATCCAGATCCTCATAATCCGAGGCTATGGAAAATAATGTTCTCTTGCTGCAGAAATTACTAGCAGAAATTGCATTTATGGTTCCATGAAAATGTAACAGCAAGCTTTAGCTGTGTGCATCAACCACGGAAGGACTGGCTGAATTTGCACTGCTTTTCCTCACCAAAATGTCAGGCCAACAGAAGAGTTTACTCTCCTTTAATCATGTACTATTTTGCCACTTTAATTTTTACAAGAAATTGATATAACTAGAATAAAGAGGTAAAGTGTAATTTCATATTGATAAGGTTTTTTGGCTTTTAAAATTTATGAACTGAAATATTACTTCAGAGTTTAAAGCATGTAATTGATATTACTCCAAGAAATTCAAACACATGAAGGAAGGGGAGGAAAGGCCAAACCATCTAAGGGCTCATGCGGTACACAGTATCCGATGAGGCATGATAATATAAATGGAAAGTGAATCCCAATGTAAAGCCAAGCCTACTTTTAATGCAAATTGTTATTACTATAGTCCATAACCATACTACACAACCAGTAGATTTATGATATTATGAAAAGAAGGGAAAAAAAATCCAGAAAGCCAACCAATACAAGAATCTAATATGGTTATAATATGAATTATCCAGTCCTAATTCTATCCAACCGGTCAACACTCTTGCGCGCCTTTTCCAATTGAAGGTCAATGCTTTTTCGAGACTTTTCATGGCAATCTACACTTCTCCGAGACCTTTCCACATGATCAAAGGAAATCCGTAATTTCTCAAGCTTATCAGCATTGTTAGTCAAATTTTTCAATTTTTCCGGCCTATCTGTGCTCTTCCTTGGTTTCTCTCTCCGGTCAGTACTCTTTCGAGGCTGTTCAAATTGATCTGTACTCATCCTAAAACTGAATCGCTGGGATTGATACTTCTCAACAGAAGTTATAAACTTCTTTAGATGCCTGATATACTCAGGATAGAGCTCCAAGTTACAGTGCTTACCTCCTTTGAGCCACAGTGGTTCATACTTCTCTTTACACAGTTCCCATAGTTGCTTCCCATGGGAGCAATCTACAACTTCATCTGAAGTTCCCTACAAAATATATGAATGGGTAATCATAATCACAAAATTTCTGATTCGTCACTTTATTAATATTTGTGAGTATATTATACTGAGACAGATAGACCTTGTTTATATTTCAACCATCTTGTAAATGAGAAAAAGAAATACTGATAACTAACAACTTAGTGTTAACTAAAGATCTATAGTCTGAACTTCAAATATTCCTACCTGCTGCTAACTAGTGCATTTTTTAACCGCTACACATAGTAGACCAGAGCTATAACATAGAGAGGTAAAAAGAGTTTGAAAGATTGCAGATAATTTGTTCACAATGTTTTCCAGTTAAGCGAACTGTATGGGCGGGAGATATCATCTAAAACAGCAGGTTCCCTAAAAGGTGTTTATCATAGCCTGTATGGCAAGCATACAAACTAGATCTCAGCAATGTCAGCATGAGGCACCATTTCAGGCTATATAGATGGGAAGCACTCAATCTCAAGCTAAGACTATTAACATTCAATTACATGCGCAGATAAATATGATAGAATAAAAAATATCTTGCAATGAATACTCACATGAATTATGAGAACTGGGCAATTAACATGAGGAATTTTGTCGATATTCTGCTCAATAACTCAAAGCAGTGTTAGACAAGAGTAAGGAATTCACGTTCCTCTAAATCAGCAATATTTGATTAAAAATGTTCATGCATAGAAATCAGATACCTTGTATATGTCAAACCAGTAAGTACGCTTTACTGGATACATGACCCTTAAGCCAGAGAGTATGGGACTATGCAGAACAACAGCTCTCAATTGAGGCAATCTAACTGCAAGATCCAAAGAAGGGCCACTGCCAACAGATTGACCGTAAAGAATTACATCCTCAGGCTTTGTGCCATAGCTTTCTTCTAGACACTTATAAGCAGCCTCAATATCTGCATATGTATTCTGCTCACTCGGCTGCAGTTCAAGAAAATTATGTCATTAGACCACCAAAAACACTAATGCATGACAACACATTTTTACAACAATAACAAGCATTTCTGATCTTACAAACCTTCCCCGATGACTGGCCGTAGCCGGAATAATCGTAGCTACACAAAATTGTAGAAAGGGTTAGTAAGAACAGCAGTTATAAACCTCAAACTTCATGAAGAGCACAAGTGAGATAGATTATTCTGTTTACAATGCTTCCTGTACAGATAGATACAACTCCAGAAACTTTTCTCCACAAAAAGGTAGTCAATGAATTTGACCAATTTCACCAAGTGATAACCAGAAATGGGGATGATGATTGGAGTACGAACATAATTGTCGAAGCACGCATCAATAGAGCTACATAAGTAAAAGTGACAGTGATTACGGATGCAACCGAAATAATATCAATTCTTTGTCCATGAAATCAAACAATTGATCGGCGACGAACTCACAGAATCATATTAAATGATCAACAAATTCCACACCTTTCAATTAAGCCTTTGATGCTAATGAATCGTAGATTAAGAAAACAGAGTATCGCAAAGTGATTAAAAGGGGAAAAACTGAAGTTAGAAAACTCAAGAAACCAAAAGCGACAGAAAAAATGTGTTAAAAAAAAAACATGAGTAGAAAACTGGGGGTACAAAGCAAGGCGTAATTGACAAAAGAGAAAGAGTACCCCATGAGATTGACGCGCAAGTGGATGCTGAGCTGAATGAAGAGGTCGTACATCTGGCCTAGATCGGCAGCATTACCGTGAGAGTAGAGGAGAGTAGAGGTGGCCATGGGATGCCTGATGTACAATGCCACTATCTCGGTGCCACGGCGCGTGGGCAACTTGAGAATTTCAACGTTCTCGCGGTGAGGAAAGGGGCTCAGAAGCAGAAGTCCAGTGACTTCGTCAGTCACCACCTTATAGGACGGTGGATTCGGCGGGAAGAAGGCGAACTTGGCCGCCATAGACGATGTTACCCCTCCCATCACTCTCCCTCCCTTTCTCTCTGCCCTTCTTCAATCTGAATTCCCCAACTGGAATAACTAACTCAGAACTTCACTGCTTCAGTTCTCTCTCTTCTCAGAAGATGAAACCTTCAGCAACAGGAAACTGAGGAAAGAGAAAGCTTGTTTAGAGGGAATGAAGTGTGCAGGGTTTAAAAAGATAAATTGTAACTTCCCTAATAACTGACATCAATCCGATATTCTGAGAAATTAAATAAATAATGTGCTTGGGTAACAAAAGTGTGATTCTGGCTCTCGAGCTTCTTGGCTATCCAGATCAGGTGCTTGAAATGTACGTAATAGAGATGACTTTAGGGCGTGATGGTGAAAGAAAGGTTATTGGAGAGAGAGACTTTTACATTACATGAGTGAGGCAATGAGGAGCGGCGTGTAAGGACCAGTGCGTCTCACAATGATGCTCCCTCTCCTGTTTGCGTAACACCCACCCCAACCCTTCATCCTCCTTTTTCTTCCTTTCTCTTTTATACCATTCTTCATCATTCTGTTTCCTGTTAATCACCGTCTTCTTCCTCTAAATTTCCCTTTTTCTTCCTCCACTATTCCATTTTGATTTCTTTTTTATTTTAAAATGAACTTCTAATCTTATTTTTAGCATCAAACTAAATGATGATACAGTCTAATTTCCAATACTCATATTAAATCAAACCTGTCCAGTTCAAATCAAATTGTATATTATCATCCCATTGTTTGCTCCATACTTTGTTCCACCATTTCTAGCCCACATTCAAATGCCCTACCACTGATTCAGTAACACGTGCATGGAACTCTAAGGCTTTTTATGATCCAGTTGGGTTCTCAGTCCTCAACAGTTTTACTTTAATGCTCAAGGTACATTTTCATCTCCCGCTCTTATATATTTATTCCTTCTTCCCCTGAAAGTATCTATCGATACTATTGATTCTGTTCCATGTGTACCAACATTATTTGTTTCTTGTTAAAACATAAACTTTTTCAAGCAAGTTGGTAACAATTTAGTAGATAATATAATAATATGGCAACGATCAGTTTATGGATATCAATGATGTCATTGGCAAAATAATAAAAAAATCAAAACAGCATTAATGTACTGGAACGTGAATATGAGAAACAAAACTTTTAATAATTCAGACTTTCAAGTTCAAAAAAAAAAAAAAAAATTGACCATCTAGTTCATGCCCGGCATAGCAATGTCCGTCCAGAACTGCAAATAACCAATCTATTGTGGAGCCATTACACGCAGCACACTGCCGCGTGGGAAGCTTATCATTTATTAAGTAGTGTATATGGCTCCAATTATTAATAATTTATCTGTCAACAATTAAGTTGTACCATCAAACTTTAAGACTGGCCAACCACATATCCCTCCCATTACTTTCACATGGGTTTTCGACACCACATGACAAGGGAAAAGGTTAAAAGATAAACGTACCTCACTAATCACACTTATTAATCAAATCAACCTTTAACGTATCCTGACTGAAAAATAAATTCATATGATTTGTTGGATCTGTTATATTATATACTAATACATAGACACGATTCCATAATTACGGCAAGTGAGTGAGAATCAAATAACGCTCAGTTGCAGATGAGAGAAAGCCCACCAATACACAAGTAAGGGGAAAAGAAAAATCTGAATATCATGACAGCTGAATGGGAGAATTTGGGACAAATATATTGATATGTCCTTTTCTTCAGGCGCACAAGGATGTTGTGAGATAGTTGTATGCTTCTCTGCTTAAAAGAAGGCATAGTCATGATCCATAATCTTGGAAAGGAACACTAAATATTATCAACTATCTGATCCATGGCCCGCAGGATGAATGCCTGATGCATATACTTGCGAATTTGTATCCTTTGAATTTCTTCAACTTGTTTTTTGGGTCCTGTTATAGAGATAAATACAAGATGTAAACTTCACAATTTAAGGAGCTGCTCATGTGTGTAGTTGTTTTTTGAAGTTATAACCGTAATACATATATATATATATACACACACACACGCACGCACGCACATCTCTCTCTCTCTCTCTCTCTACACACACAAACCCCCCAATTCAAGAGGATCCAAAGAGAGATAAATATAATCATACTTGTTACACCCATCAGTGAAAATCAATGCGGCAAACCAAATCTTGCCATGAAATAAAAGGAAAATTATAAAGCTTCATTCATCCCGGAATCCTGGAGAAGAAGCTTATGGTACGTTAGAAGCATACATAGCATAAGCGTCAACTGGTCAACGTCACTCATATCCATCTACTTCTAAACATACACATGCAATCTGTTGGACCCCTTGGGGGAGCCCTCTTTTTCTCCCACAAAAAGACAGAGAGAAAGAGAAAGAAAGTAAAGAACAGCATGCATGTAAATATAGCGACTCATCTTCAGTCACAATCTGTGGACCCAAAATTTCTGGAATCAAGCCCACAAGACAAGCACTGTTCTTATTTGTGGAAAAGGACCATATAACAACTATTTTTAGCCAGAGAATAACAAAGATTGAAGACAACGACAGAATTGAGGGATGTCCGTTTCCCTGTGGGTCCTGTGTATTAACTACGAAGCAAATGAAAAAGAAGCAAAGGGCGGGTTACACTGACCTTATACCTATCTCTTCTAATTGTTGTGATGGATGATGAGATATGTCTCTTGTCTGCAGAATTTCTTCTTCAATAATGCCTGACATCGCTTACTTTTACAGTTTGGCTGGGCTTCTATCACAAGAAAGTCTCGGTTTCAATGTTCAAACTTAATACAGAGAAATTCAACTACGAGATTTATGGAAAGAGATGTTATTATCAGCCCCACGGTGAGCCGTCTTCAGATTAGCCTTTGTTGAAGCCTATCAAGTGATTAGCAGCAAGCTGAAAAGAAGGCAGTTTTAATTGTGGCAAGTGCAGTAGCCAAGTCCTTTTTCCCTGGCATATTACTGACTGATAGATTTCTTCATATCACCAAAAAATCTAAATCCAAGGAGTAATCAGATAATTTTAAAAAAGGGGGGTCGGTTCAGATAAGGAATAAGCATATCCAAATTGACAATGTCAACAAGAAAGCTGGTCACCATTATCAAGAATGATCGGTGCCCCTGAATTTAAAATGGAAGCCTGCACAAATTTGACAGGCAACAAATACTTAAATGAGCGTTTGGTATCCAATAAAATTACCAGTTGTAGCCCATTATATGACTAAGACTGCTGCTCTTACTCCGCTAGATGCACAATCCAAGAATATAAATGTCCTTTCACAAACACTTGGATTTAGACATCATTGAAATCGTGGGTTGGCACTTGACAGAACATAGAGGCTGAAGTGGTCAAGTGTATTATTCAGCCTTTTGTACCTTTTATACTATTCTGAAAATATAGATTAATTACAAGGCAAATTCTTAGAAATGAAGTTACAAAGCAGTCTAAAGACAACTAACTCTCCCATCTTCAGTTTGGAACTAGAGGATAATCCTAAGAGAATCTTTTAACACTTCCTCTTGGTAACACCTATTCTGAAATAATCATAGGCTTCACAGAAGACATGTAGACACAAGCATATAATGCAAATAACAGCAATTTCTCACCCTCATAGCCCTAATATTAACTAATCGCCATCCACAATCCCAATATTCTTATCCATTCCCCATCAATGAGTCTTGTAACAGACTTTAGTTTATTTGGCTTCAAAGACTTCAGCAGATTTTGTCAAACTAATGCTAGAGTACCTATTTTTTAATGGCATAAGGGTACGAATAATCAAGATACTCAAATATTACTTTCAAGCTAATGGACAAAATAATTAATAGAACTTAGATACCAAGGAGCTGCTTCCCTTGGCATTATAACATTTAATTTCAGTTGTGATATACATGTAACCATTAGGCAAAAAGCTGAAATAACTTGCCGCTGCTCTTTCTGATCATAATCTACATATCAAGATCAACATATATAACAAAATCTATAGCAAGTTGCACTAGTCACAAGCTATAAATATTAAATAGTGCATCTCATTTCTCAAATTTCATAAGACACATGGGAAATCATGTCAAATCCCTCTTCAGATTTTTCTGATTTTTCAAAATTTTTTCCAGCGGTAACCATGGACAGACTACAGACCTATCCTAATGCACAGATAAACTAACTATTTTTGCACTCAAAACCCTATTTCATCCTTAAGTTTGTCTCTGAATAAAAGCCCTAAAGCACTGTTCAGGGTACTCATTCCCCAAGCGATCTCATTTTAACAGCCTTCAAATGCTTCCAATGTTAAACTTAAACCTTATTAACCACTAGTTGGATGTAATGTCACTGTCCCAGGGCAGTTGCTCTTTAATTTGAAAATAAGCAGGAATTATGAGATGTAATGAACATCTAGTAGCAGAGGTTTACTAAGAAGGAAAAGGGAACGCAAGAGTAAAGAACAACACCCATAAAAGTCCAGCAACAAGAGTACTGTCAGAGAAAAAAGCTATCTGGTTTGAAGCGGTTGCTAAACTATGCAAACATCAATGCATACCGCACTGTAAGGCCGAATAGTCTGTCGCATTCTGCATGTTAAAAGTTCTTGAGAAATACAGAACTGTATCAGATTATTAGATTGCTGAAAGCAGCTCAATGCAAAAAACTAGGAGAAACAAAGAAAAGAAATAACTCAGTGTCGTTCATCTTCCAGGACTTCCTGTTTATAACTAACAGGACTAGAACATCAAAACTTATACAAGTATCAAGTAACCAGCAAAATAGAAACCTTGGCATACTGTCCTAAAAGTTCCATCACCAAATCCTCATTCCCTTCAAAGAGTAAACAGTTTTTCCCAAAGGAAAATAGATAAATAACCAGCAACTTCAGTGCATCCCCATTGCCCCCAAATAAACCCTAGCTCACCTAATGCAGCCCCTAATGTTGTCGGCGCATCCGCTTTCTTAGTTTCTGGTATTTGTGCTTGTTCATCTTCTTTTTCCTCTTCTTCTTCACACTGTCTGCCCACATTGTCCGTGAATCATCCATCTCCGCATCCACGCTCTCAGTCGAACAACACCCAGTTGAAGAAACGGGATTTACAGGAAACCCAAATGGGAAGCTTGGAAAAATAACAGTGGACAAGGCGGGGTGCTCTTTTCCTGGATTTAGAGTGGCGGGTTGGTGAAATTCTGGATTGATCCCAACCAATGGGGAAGGACGAGAAGCAAGGGGCTCCAAGAAAGTTGGTGCATACGAATTGTGAAGCTGAAATGCAGAGACGATTCTGGTGACCGAAGATCTAGTGAGCAGCTTCGGGAGCGCCGAAGCCATTGAGTTGAATCGGAGTTGATGAGCTAGGGCGTTGCTTCCCTACGCGGAATGACGAATTGGGAATTGAGCCCGATGGAATGCCCGAATCGGTGAGCAAGCCTTGTGTTTGTTTGTTTGTTTGTACAAAACTATTTAGTTGGGTATAATAAATTATAAAAATAATTAATTAAATAATAAATTTTAATTATAATTTATTATGTTATAATGTGATGTGTTTGAATATTATTTTTTTAAAATTAATTTTAATATAATTAAAATTTTTTAAATAATTTAATTAAAATTAATTTTTAATTATATAAATTACTGTGTAATTTAATTTTTAAATATTAAATATTAATTTTTTAAAGATATAAAATTTAAATTTTATTAAGAAAAAAAAAGAATAGAGTTGGTTTTATTTTTATTAAATTATGTATTTTTTTTGTAATTTTTGCTTGGATCTATCTTTGTAAGTTTTTTTAAGATTTTTGGCAAGCGTTCCTCATACGCTTGGATTCTCAGCTTTGCAAAAAAATTAATTTTTCTAAAAAAATTAGGGTGTGTTTAGATTTCAATTAGAAAAAATTAATTATTAAAACGTAATGATATTTGAACAAATTTTTAAAAATTGATTTTGATAAATTGAATATGTTTGGATGATTTTTTGAGAATCAATTTTGAATATACAAATAAATGATATAAAGAAAAGGAGCCAAATAAAGTTTTACAAATAAAAGAAATTTCAACTTTTTTAAAATGAAGTTTTCAAAAGTTTGTAAAATGAGGGTGTTTGAATAAATTTTTACAAAATTATAATTTTAATTTCAGAATTAATTCTGAATGAGGATCCAAATAGGCCCTTGGTTTTTTGAAAAAGTCATCGTTTGAATAATTTCATGCAAAATTGATTTTTCCTCCTGATAAAATCGATTAATGTGCTATCCAAACACACTGTAACTCTATTCCAGCCGAGGATTAAGGATTGTTTGGCGCTGCCCCGATAAGCGAATGCCGAAGCTGACACCCGTGGGATTTTGAAGGGGGAAAAGAAAGAATGTTTTATGCTAACTTTTTATTATTATTTTGTAATAATTAATAATATTTATATTTTATCCTTTAAATTACGGGCACAAAAATATTCTTCCTGCTTAAAATATTTTATTATTTTATCTTTTATTCTGTATGCTAAATGAATTATTCATCAGATTATTTCACAAAAGATTATACTGTGCAACATATCATGATAATGATAAGGTGATGTACAAAATACGATTCCGTGAAAATCTGCCGAAATAATATGTCATAATGTGCGTAACGAAGAAATGCGAGAGCCGAGCAATAACACATGGGGACCCACACGTTGCAGGGAAATTCAAAAACTGAGCTGGAATTACTAATTAGAGTATATTACAGCCAAATATTGGAAAAGATTAAAAAACACTGCCCCCATGCAGGATCGAACTACAGACCTTCAGTTTACAAGACTGACGCTCTACCACTGAGCTATAGGGGCATTGATTGCACCCTGGATGTCGCAGAATATTACTACTTTTGTATTTAGGAAATTGCCTAATGCAAGGCAGTCCAACGTGATAGCCGGGCAAATGCCCTCCTAAAATAAAAAAAATTGCATGAATGTATATGGTAAAATTTACATTCTGCCTCCACTCATCTTTATTTTTTAAACCCACTAAAATATAGGCCAAATCAAATCACTGTTAAAACCTTATATTAAATAAATTGTCCCCACTAATCTAAGGTCACAGGTCTGGCACTTCGCTAATGTAATGGCATGTGATAATTGATAAGGACGTGCAGAAGTGTGATGTAGTTCAAGGTTTGAGAAGGACTTAAGTCTGGGCATACAGGCACGATGCACTTACTTTTCCTCTGCTTTCACACGAATCTTTGCGTAAGAAGAAGGGAAATGTTCGTACATGTCCAACAAAATGGTTCAAGGAACATGATACATGGGTGATCCGTAAGCTTTATGCTCGGCAGGAAGGATGTCTCTAACGTATTGGGGTCGGAGCCAGAAAAAAGTGCATGGGGGCAAGCTGTAGTTTCCTGGGTACAATAATTGAATATATGCCTGTATTTGTACTCCCTCCAATAAACTTTATTAATCACTTTTTTAAAAATTAAAATAATTCACTTTATAAATTATTAAATTGAATAAAAACATAATATTATATAATTTATTTACATTTTAAAAGTTATGCTCATAATTTTATTAAATTTTTTTTATATTTTTATATTATAATAAAATTAATAAAAGTAATTTTTAAATAAAACCGAACAGAGTATTGGCCAAAACATCCACACACTTTGGTTATAGTATGGATGAAATGCCTCTTCGTTTAAGCATTATCGCGTCCTGTAAATTTGAAGAAATCCCATTGAATTGCGTGGGGACAAACAAACGCTATATATACATATTTATATCATCATCACCATCATCAATATATCTCCCATGCTTCCGGTTAGGCCGATGAACAGTGCAAAGCGCCAACACCACTCATGTTTTCCTGTTTATCTGAACAATAACGGCGGCTCTGTCAGTTTAGTGGCCTCTCTTCTTTTGAGATTCAATTTCAAATTCATCCTCTTCTTAAATCTCTCTCTCATTCTCCTTTACTTTTATATATACGTGTATTTTTTTTTAATTAATATTGACTTCTGGAAGAATAAATTTTTTGAATATATATGCTAAACAGGTGGAAATGCAGAGGAAAATTGACGACCTTCTCCTTCCTTTGTACTTATTTTCTCTCATTTTGCGCTTCTTCTATGACCTTTCTCACTGTTTCTGATGATAAATATATACCTATTTGGTCGCAAGCTGTCTTTTCCTTTATGGGTTTGATTAGAAGCGCCAAACTTTAGGTTATGGGATACCAAGACTCAAAAGCTTTTCTCCCATCAATATTCCATTATTTTGTGCTTGTTCTTTCTTATGATTCCCACGCTAGCATATGAAGTTGTAAAAGTTTTCTGTTTTCTTTATGAAATATATTTTTATGATTCATTTAGGCAACGCTTGAGCATCAATTATTTTTTGTATCTAAGAAGTGTTTTTTATGTCTGTCTATTGTGTTTCCATCATGAAGCATGTTCTGGTTATTACAATCTTATTAGCACTCATTCAATGCTTAATTTATATTCATCTTTTTATGATCCCTGCATCACACGAGATGCACAGTAAAATCTTATTTATATGCCTCCAGTTCTCATAAAGTACACACTTGTAGTTAGCTCGCAACCTCAAATAATACAAGTGAAACAAATAGTATAGTATAAGTAAGGGGACCAAGGATTTAGATTTGATGTAATGCATTTGGATTCAATAGTATTTGGATTTGAATCAAATTTTTTATTTTAATATATAAAAGCTTATACATTTATATTTGATCTAAATTCAAATCCATATTTTATTATATTTATTCATAATTTCAAATTCTTTTCTATAATCTAGTAATTATTTGAAATTTTAGCATTTTAACTATCGTTGTTTCGGTGTCCTACCTCTCCCTTCATCTCTATTATTATCTCTCATTAATTTGAATATTAGATTGTTACTCTTCTACTTTTAAAATTGAGTTAATATATAATTTAAATTTTGAACTATAGGTTTATGAGCAATTTAAACCTTATACCTGTAATTGATACATTTTGAATCTTGAATAATCAAACTTAATTAGGGCATCATCACTGTTATTATTAATTTAAAATGAACTCCTTGTTACTTTAAGTACCAAAAAAAAAAATATTCCTCTCTAGAAACCAATTCTGCCAAGATGACCTAGCTTAGTCAATGACCCCTCATCGTTGTGCTCTCCTCCATCATCGAGCAGTCAAGCTCTAAACCCCTCCTTCATCTTCTCTGCATTGCCCCATCGTAGCACATAAAGACTTTCTCCACTCTCAATCATCGACTCGTCACTCAGCTCTCCTTTAGACTTTCTTGCAAGTGCTTACCTTTAATCCCTCATGCTTGTTCTTGTTGTCCTCGTCTAGTAGCTCAGCTTTCCACACACTATATTAAAGATCTCTTCGTGGTTCTCGAGCTTAAAGCTGACAACTATGAAGTCTACATTCTTGCATAGCTCTGATGATGTTAGCAGCTCTTGAGGTTCTCCAACGAAGAACTTCGCTTGATCTGTGATGTCAACGTTGCTCAGGAGAGTTTTGGTGGGATTAATGTGGTCGAGGTTCCCAACATTGCGGATGACTTAACCCTGAGTTTGGTGAGTTGCGACCATTATGGCTAACTTGGCGTACACGATCCATTTGGAGGGCATGCATCAGAGTCAGAGGAACACCAAGTGTTGATCTTAAAGCAAAGCTGCTTCTTGGACAACGGTGGTGGTGTCAAGAGAGAGGGGACGAAAATTAGAGAGATGCAAAGAGAGGGGAGGAAATATCATAGAAAGATGCAAAGAAAGGGAGAGCAAGGAGGAAATTTTGTCACGCAAGGTTCATACATGGATCTCACTAATTAAAATTACTGTCATTTAGTTCAAATTAATAGTAGGAGCCAAATTGTTTTAAGTTTAATTATTAAAATTTAAAATATATTAATTATGGGTATATAATTCAAATTATCCTTGGATCTATAATTTAAAATTCAAATTTCATATTAACCTTTTAAAATTTTTTTTATACTACTCAAATAAAAGATTTTAAATCAATGTTTTTAAATTGGACTGGATATTGAATCAAAATGCCAGCGATTTATAGTTTGTATGATCTAACCCAGGTTCATGGTCCAACTAGGCTGGACTAATGGTCGAACCAATAACATAATAATTAAATTAAAAAATTATATATGTATTTAATGATCTAAATATAAAAAATAAATATAAATTACTGCTTAATTTAAAAATAAAATAAAATATTTTAAGTTTATCATAACTTAACAAATCATATGATGTAACATAATATTAAATGATTAAAAAAGTTGATCATTTCTAAAAAAGAAAAGAAAAGGCTATTTTTTGAGCAATTCAATTTTAAAAACA